GCTCTCTCACAGAAAAGCGTTTTCTATATTTATATATTTTCACACTTTTACAGTATATGTTTTTTTTCAATATTAAGTAGCACACTGCTAGCAACAGCACTGACAGATGGGACACGAGCTGACAAGATCTGCAGACGTCACATGTTATAGCATGTTTTTCTATTTCTATTGCATAGCCTCTATTGCATAGCCTGGGTTAAGCAGGCATGAGTTACCAAATGCCAACCTCTTGACAAAATCTAATGATAATAAAAGTTGGTTAAGCATTTAACTAACAATAATAATCAAATTCATTTTAGAAAGGAATAGTTCACCCCAAAATGAAAATTTACTGAAAATGTACCCTCAGGCCATCCAAGATGTAGAGTTTTTTTTATGTTTTTTTTCATCTGAACAGATTTGGAGAAATGTGTCTTTACACCACTTGCTCATCAATGGATCCTCTGCAGTGAATGGGTGCCGTCAGAATGAGAGTTCAAATCCAGTTGATAAAAGCAACACAATAATCCACAAGATGTTTTTGACTTCAAACTGTTGATTCCTCTATTCATAGTAATGCTTCCTCCGGGGAAAAAGTTCATCATTAAGGCATTTTAACTTTAAAGGGGACCTATTATGCAAAAATCACTTTTATAAGGTGTTTGAACACAGTTGTGTGGCCGCAGTATGTGAAAACAACCAGCCTATAATGGTAAAAATCCACCCACTCATTTTTTATTTATTTTTTATTTTTTATAATCCCAATAAATCATAAACAGTCTCTCAGAACAAGTGATTCCAGATTTCTGCCTATGTACACGTCAGCGTAGGGAAAAAGTCCCGCCCATTTGTGGTGCTCTCTGCGCTATTAGCATAGACACAGGCCTGAGTGAGAAGCAGCAGTCCGCCATTTCTGTTTTCCTGCTGTAGCTGCTGGAGATATACAATGTCAGCGCCAAAGAGGCATTACAAGTGTTGTGTTTTGGGATGCACCAATGTACATAGGAGTCCATAGACTCCCTCCATCTGAGCCGCTGAGGACACTGTGGTGAAATTTAATTTTTGAAGGAAATGTCCTGGAAAATAATCTGTAAAGTCCCCTATATGTTTAGGGATCAATTCCAATGCTTCGTGTGCGAACGTCAGTTCCAGACAAAGTAAGTATCACGTGTTTGTTTTCCAAATTGCCTTTCTGAAAGAGCTTCCTGGCACTATGTAAGGATGAGGCGTTTGTTTTTGCATTTAAAGGGACAAACACAAAAATGGTGCATTTTGGCTCATACCCTAAAAGTATGGCTATTTTAACAAGCTATAACAAATGATCTGTGTGGTATTTTGAGGTAAAACTTCACATACTCTGGGTACATTACAGACTTATTTTACATCTAGTCAAAAAGGGGCATAATTGGTCACCTTTAAACCATTGCTTCTGTCCAAAATATAGTCAATAATCCATAATAATTCTTCCTCCAATGAAAAAGTATATCCCCTGTTGTCTTCTCACATCAAAATCCACCAACATATTTGTTTTAGAACTGTTTTCGCTTGAACAAAGTGCATGATCTGTGCATATTTCTCTCCTGATTCAGCTGAGATTACTTTTTTAACAGAAGAAAACAATATTGTAGATTAAAAACCTTAATGATGGATTTGTTTCTAATAAACACACAGCTTTTTGCTTCACAAGACGTTAATCGATGTACTGAAGTCATGTGGATTACATGTGGATGTTTTTATCAGCTGTTTGGACTCTCATTCTGACGGCACCCATTCCCTGCAGAGGATCTACTGGTGAGCAAGTGATGTAATGCTAAATTTCTCAAAATCTATTCAGATGAAGAAACAAACTTATCTACATCTTGAATGGCCTGGGGGGGGTGAAAACATTTTCAGCAAAGTTTCATTTTTGGGTGAACTATACCTTTAAGATATTTATAATATTCAGACAAAATAATCTGAAAGAATGCTTAAAGACAATGTGAATTGAAGATGATTTGATGGCTAAAACTGAGCATTACATATCAAGGTGGAACATAATAGCCACACACTGCCTAGGAATGTTTGACTGAATTTTGATTTCACATTGACTTGAACTGCAGTTTTAATGCAGGATGAATAAATCTCTACTATTACTTTAGCTTACTTTGCCTGTCCCCTTCATCCTCTAGTCTGCAGAGGGAGCTGCAAAAGCTTGCATTTCATTTCTTAAGCTGTTCAGAACTTTTCAAGGGTACAATGCAGTCAGGATGAGTTATGGCTCAGAGAAACCGCAAACTCTCTCTCTCTTTCTCTCTCACTAATGGAGGAGCAAAGGAGAACAGCACAGGGCCATGACTGACTGGATACAGCAGACACAGTTAACTGGAGGTCAGGAGGCTTTACTCTCACCGTCCACTTAAAAAATGACTGTTGTCACACTACACTCAAACACGCCAATCAACATCCATCTGCTTTGAGTGAGTGTTGCGCATCATTTGCGAACATTGCTGATTCAACCTAGATGACAACCTAGATGGGCAACTTTTAAGTTTACAGACCCACCATATGCTATTATTTTCAGCAGTACATAAGTTGTCTTTTATGAACTTTAATAGTATTATAGACAAGTATGCACAATATTTCAGCACCATTTAAGTTACCGGCTGATGTTAGAACTTATTTATCAGTTTTGCCCATTGTTAGGATTCTATTGGCCAATATTCAGTATTTGTTTCTGTCTACCTTAAGATTTAGATTATCATCTGGCACTAATTTAAGGGCAAAGAGATGAATTATGGAGCTAATTTTCCACTTACCCTTTAAGAATGAATGGCGAAATGAGTTGCAGTGTGCATGTAATGATTTTTTTTTTTTTATAAATTAATATAGATTTTCAGTATTGGCTGTTTATTGGTTATTATCGTAAAAAAAAAAATATATATATCAGTTTATTAATGTTAACAATTTCAGTATCGGTGGATTCATAATTACAGTATTTTTATTGTATTTTTGTAGTATTTGTAAAGCTTTATTTTAATTAATCAACACTACTTTGGTATAACAAATAGTACATAACTGCAATTTATACAGTTACGCTACTGTTTATAAGATTGTATGCTCACTAAGGCTGCATTTATTTGATCAAAAATACAGTAAAATGGTAATGTTGTGAACTAGTGTTACAATTTACTTTTTTTATTTTTATATTTTTAAAATTGAATTTATTCCTGTGATGCAAAGCAGAATTTTCAGCATCATTACGCCAGTCTTAAGTGTCACATGATCATTCTAATATGCTGATTTACTGCTCAAGAAACACTTTTTACTATCAATGTTGTGCAAATCACAATTTTTTCAGTTTTGATGAACCAAGTCCAAAAGAACAGCATTTATTTGAAATATATAGATATATAGCAATTTAATGCATCCTCGTGGAATAAACATTTCTTATTTTATTTAAAAAACAATTCTTACTGACCCCGAACTTGTGAACTGCAGTGTATTTCTGTTTAATTTTATTTTATAAACAACAACAATGAATAATAATAAATACCCATCATTTTTGAGGGGCCCAGGGTCTGAAAATTCTCATGGTATGTTCTGCGTGTGATTTACCTGTAGCAGTGCAGCAATGCCGGGTTAGGCCTTTCCATTCGGAGATAGCAGGCAACTATTCTGGACTCAACAAAGCTGACAACTTTACAAATGTCTTCATAATCAGCATAAAAAGGTTTCTCAAACACAGCGCCTTTGGAACATAGCTGAGAGAGAGAAAAGGTGGGAGAAATCCAAGGTAGCTTCCATTAATTGAGATACTGAAAGATGTTGACAAAAAAATAATCCTGCTTATAGTTGATTAATTGTCAAATAAAATGTAATGTGTTTTTTTTTTTTTTAAATGAATGAAAGTGAAAATAAATGAAAATATTCAGGCTCATGGCGTCACTGTCACATTACAAGAATCAGTTTGATGCATTTCTGTGACCCAAGCTGAGCAATGCAATAAAAAAGCCAAACAATATGAAGAATTTCACCTTGAGCACTGAATGTTTTTGAATGTACTGTCAGCGCAGCTATGAACATACCACTTAATTAAAAGGAAAATGTTCTCTTCACTTTACGTGTGTATAAACACTTTCTTGATTACCTTTTTCTCATTTGACCTCTTGTATTGTATGACATTATTACGTAATGACATGTAAGACATTATGCCGTTAAAATTGTATTAATCTCAGCTGAGAGAAATGAAAGAAACATTTCTAATGTTTAACAATCTACAGATCCACTTAAACATGGTCAAAGTCTGTTAATGCGGGATCCAGGTAATAGCGATAACAGGTCAGAATTATGATTTTAAAAACTGTTGTAAACCGTAATTAAAGCTCTTCAAGATGTGCCTCAGAATATCTTTAATAACATTTTAAGTCAAGTCAGAAATCAGGTTATTAATTTATTTTAATTACTTTAATTGAGCATGCTTAGTTTCTCTATTTTTATGTTTGGATTACATTTGCCACTGCCAAAAATTAAATTTAAAAAATGTAATAACACTATTAAATGTATTTATTTATTTTTTTGTTGGCCAAATAAAATCTCAGTGACCACAGTATCAGATGGCAGTGTCACAGTACTTTTATAAATACCATGGTGACCATTGTTTGTAATTATTTTTATTGTTCAGGCTTAGTGTTGGGCATTTGAACAAGCCTCAAACATTAAATATGAAATATGAAATGAATGCATAAATCGCTTAATTTGCCCTATGAAGGATACCTCAGATCATGTGGTTTGTTGAGAGGTTACTTTTTTAAGCAATCTTATGTCTTGTACTTGGATGGGCTTTTCTTCTTTCTTTCAACCACCCTGAACATCCAAACAGCTCCTATAGCAACTGCATATAAAATGACTTTGAACACCTTAAGATCCCCATAAGAGTGCATGTGCACGCACATTTTCAAACAATCTAGTGCGTAAGTGTATTAAATGCACAGATAAATGTCTGTAGGAAGGGCAGCCTGTGGTATAATTTGAATATCGAGTACCTCTAGTGCAGCAGTGAAACGGCTGGCTGCAGTGGCATATTTCTTCTGTTGGTAGTACGAGTTGGCGTCCTGTAAAGCTACATCGAGCCATTTGTCAATTTGAGGCAGAAAGCTGAGATTAGGTCCACTCGGAGGCCCTCCTATTTCAGCCGCTTGACACATTAATTGTGTGGCGGTGGAGGCCAGGGACTTGTGGGTAATGTCCTGTTCGTCACTGAACACTAACTTTGTCTCAGCCTCCATCAGGTCTCTTAGAGAAATGCGAGGGGGCTCAGGAAGGGGGCTTCGTTCATTATTTGCTCCCGCACAGTCGTCCGGCGATCCATCTTTTCTTCGAGTGTCATTCTTCTTGCTCCTCTTTGGGGCACTGCTGTCTGTCTTTTTCCCTTTTCTCTTGTTTGGGCCCTTTTCCTCAGGCTGGATTGTAGCAGGCGTTGGATGCTCTGTGTACTTGGGGAAAACCATCTGCTCTAGTCCCTGGAGTTCCAGGCTTCCAGTCGAGTTTGCAATGTTTCTGAAAGGCATTTAAAATGAAAGGAATAGTTCATCCAAGATGTTTTAACTTAAAAAAATCGCTTCTGGTCAAAATCCATACTAATGCTTCCTCCAGTAAAAAAGTGTGTCCATGTTGTCTCTCACATCAAAATCCACCCACATGTTTGTTTAGAGCTATTTTGGACTGTTTTCACTTGTAAATGGTGCTTGACCTGAGCATATTTCTCTCCTGATTCAGATGAGACGACCTTTTCACTGAAGAAAACAATATTATGGATGAAGGACTCTAGCTGAATTTTAGCTGGAATCAATGGTTTGAAGAAGAAAAAAAACATCTTTGTTTCTTACAAACATGCAGCTTTTTGCTTCAAGATGTTAACTGATGGAATGGAGTCATGTGGATTATTGTGATGTTTTTATCAGCTGTTTGAACTCTCATTTTGATGGCACCCATTCACTGCAGATGATCCATTGGTGAGTTAAAATGCTGAGATTAAGAAAGAAACTCATCGACATCTTGGATAGTATGAGGGTGAGTAAGTTTCCAGCTAATTTTCATTTATGGGTGGACTATTCCTTTAATGCAACACTTTTTTTTAGGGACCATTTGCACAGAACGTTTCTTCATCCCATTGCACTGCTCTTCCATTGTTTTGTTTTTTTAATGTTTTTTTATTTGAAACATGTGCTAGATCGACGTGTTTAGATAGACGCGCAGAATTAATAATAACAGACAACCAACTTACAATCTACCCCACATGCAGACTATCCCATTCCTACGCGGGTTACTCCCTATGAATTCAAACAGCCCAGGAAATAAATGCATTTTACATCCCAATGAAGGCCTGCTCTCCTCTTACAGACAAGTTCTCAATTCTCTAAGCGGGCTGAAACTTTAATACATTCGCTGCTGTTATTCTTCTGTAAGAGCGCTGCTGTTAGTGTACTGTTAGAGAAGTCACTTAAATAATGTAGCGGGCCGGGGTGCTGATTCACTGCCGCTCTTGAGATGTGCTTAGGAAAAGGTCACTGTGACATATACACCTGTTGGCAATGGGCCGAGCTCCTGCTTTAAGAGGAGACTGCAAATTCTGCCATCTTTATGTGTGTGTGTTACTACCGTGGGGGCAGAAAGAGTGTTTTTGTCCTTATAAATACGTTTTAAAGCAGGCTGGCTGAGACTACAAGAGTTTTAGGCCAATTTATCCCCCCCCAAAAAAAATCTTATGTAGGACCTTGGTTGTTTACGATGTTCGACCCAGATTGTCTGGTAATGTAAGGCATTTTCAGATCTAATCTCAACTCTCCTGATGTGCTCGCATTACACACCCGATAATATCAAATGTAATATAATGTTTGAAGCAGAGGAATTAAATCGATGGACAATGCGCCTCTGTTTCCTTCAAATGTAAAAAAATAAATGAAGCCAAAGTGTCCCATGTATGGTCGCTGTAATCATTTGGAACCAGAGCCTGTGCAGTTATCATTAGCTGGAGCCGCGATATCGATGTCCAGCCTAAACTTGCAAGTTCGCAAGCTCACGATCATGACGCCAAACCCCATTTTTAAAGCTTTAAATAACTAACTAAAAGCAAGCTTTTTAGAAAAACAAACATTTGAACACATCAAAGTGATAAGAACTACCTAAAAAGATGGAAACCATCTTCGGGAAATATTTATTTGACGTTTAATTAGATTTTTTCCCATTTGTTTACATGGAAAGGGCAGGGTTTATGACCTATATGCAGCCAGCCACCAGATGGTGATCAAAATGTTTTGGCTTCACTTTTCAAGACGTGTGCGGCATACTTGATACGGACAAAGAAAAAAGCTGGGCAGATAGCACCTCAGTTTTGAACTTACCGGGTGAGAGTAAAAAGCAGCTAGCGCCTAGCGCTGATGGTGTTGCTAAGCAATGGCAAACCGTTTTTACTGTTAGCTAGCATACTACTGTGAACAGATATTAAAATTGGCAGTTCAATCTCACCTTTGCTGAAGAACAGACAATATACATTTCGTTATCCATTGTGAGGTGCTTCCTCTGGCATGATAATCTTAATCTCTTGTTCGGTATGATGCTCCATGATTTTCAAATCATGTTTGAGATTTGAAAGAAGACAATCTGGGCATGATGCAACCAGATTTTATAATCGGTTAGGATTTAAAAACTCCTGTAGTCTGAGCCATATGGCATAAGAATTCTTGTTATAGTGCAGATGTGGGCACTAGATATGGATTTAGGACTGTAGTGCCCACTAGGTGGCAAGAAATAAATATTAAGCCAATTGTGTATATATATATATGAAATAAGTTTTAAACTGTAACTATTGCTGTATCCTGATTGATGCCTCAACTGGGGGAAATAATGTTGACTGCTGCCTAATATAAAAATATTTCTGTTGAAAAAAAAGCTTTATGTCAAGCTGCACTCACCTCTGAGTTCTCATAGTGAAATGTGTCTTTTTGAAAGCTTGAAGAATAACATTGTATCACTGACATCACCACACAACTTGTGGAACTGTGTTGTCCAATCAGATTAGAGCACCAGGACTGACTGTTGTAGAGTGCAACAGTGCCCGCCCACTTTTTTAGTTCTGGTATTTTATTTCATATCCACCTTATTTTTCAACGCGGAAGTAAGCTTTTTTTTTTTTTTTTGAATGTGCGAGACTTCCGGTTCGTTAGCCGCTGTAGGGAAATAACGAGAAGAATAACAAAGTGCAGTAAATGGTAAAACAGTATGAACTACAAACCAGTGTGTTCATAATTAAGATTAAGATGGTAAGAAACACCAGTTTGCAATATATATATATATATATATACAGTGGGTACGGAAAGTATTCAGACCCCCTTACATTTTTCACTCTTTGTTAAATTGCAGCCATTTGCTAAAATCATTTAAGTTATTTTTTTTCCTCATTAATGTACACACAGCACCCCATATTGACAGAAAAACACAGAATTGTTGACATTTTTGCAGATTTATTAAAAAAGAAAAACTGAAATATCACATGGTCCTAAGTATTCAGACCCTTTGCTCAGTATTTAGTAGAAGCACCCTTTTGATCGAATACAGCCTAATATAAAAATATTTCTGTTGAAAAAAAAGCTTTATGTCAAGCTGCACTCACCTCTGAGTTCTCATAGTGAAATGTGTCTTTTTGAAAGCTTGAAGAATAACATTGTATCACTGACATCACCACACAACTTGTGGAACTGTGTTGTCCAATCAGATTAGAGCACCAGGACTGACTGTTGTAGAGTGCAACAGTGCCCGCCCACTTTTTTAGTTCTGGTATTTTTTTTCATATCCACCTTATTTTTCAACGCGGAAGTAAGCTTTTTTTTTTTTTGTGAATGTGCGAGACTTCCGGTTCGTTAGCCGCTGTAGGGAAATAACGAGAAGAATAACAAAGTGCAGTAAATGGTAAAACAGTATGAACTACAAACCAGTGTGTTCATAATTAAGATTAAGATGGTAAGAAACACCAGTTTGCAATATATATATATATATATATACAGTGGGTACGGAAAGTATTCAGACCCCCTTAAATTATATATATATATTTTATTGAATTTTTAAGTAGTTGGAGAACATATATTAATTTGATTACATTGCTCACGGTGCTTAATGGTTTGTGCTACAGAGTTATTTTGGCACAATTTGTTTGATTTTCTGATTTTCTTTCAGAATCATGGGTAATGTAGTGTTTCACCATGGACTGCTAAACATGCTTATTTAAAAAAAAAGTTGAAATAATGTGGGCTGATGGCTTCAAAAAAGCATATGTGACCCTGGACCACAAAACCAGTCATAAGGGTCAGTATTTAAAATGACAATATTTGGCCGAGATACAACTATTTGAAAATCTGGAATAAAAATCTAAATATTGAGAAAATCGCCTTTAAAGTTGTCCAAATGAAGTTCTTAGCAATGCATATTGCTAATCCAAAATTAAGTGTTGATATATTTACAGTAGGAAATTTACAAAATATCTTCATGGGACATGATCTTTACCTAATATCCTAATGATTTTTGGCATAAAAGAAAAATCTATAATTTTGACCCATACAATGTATTTTTGGCTATTGCTACAAATACACCCCAGCGACTTAAGACTGGTTTTGTGGTCCAGGGTCACATATACCATCAACAACCTTGTATCTGCTTTTAAAAGGGTTTATACGTTATCGTTAAAATTCAATTCCACAGTGGAGAAAATGAATGGGATTTTTTTTTTGTTACTTTCGTAACCCAACTGGTTGTACTCATGATAAACTCTGTGCTTTGATTGGTTGACATAATTAGCCAAAGCGACAGTCAGATATGTGACTAGTGTCAACATTTGAATCAGTTCTTACCCAACTACTGATGGCCGCACTGTTTAAAATGAAGCTAGTTATTATGATGTGTGTCGATAGCTCTCAACTTCATGCATTTCTCACTACAGTAAACACAGCTCTATCTACCATCACTGACAGCTTGCCGACAGATGCAGAGCGCTGTCTCAAAGGATAGTCGCTCAAGACACATAATAAATTCATTTATAGTACTCTAATATATACATTACATATACAGTATAGTAATCATACACAGTAATATATTGTCATATTTAGGGGATAATAGATTGCCAGCTCGCTACTGTTGTCTTTTCAGTTAATTTCTCTCTATGAAATATGTCTCTGATTATAGTTTGTAGAGAAAATTACTCAAAGTAGACTACATGCATAGTTTTAATTTTTATTTATTTATAAGTGTTCGTTTTCATTAGCACTTAACTTACATTAATAGTTAACACTGGAAACAAAACAAACTAATTGGTATCAAGAATCAGTAATTATTATTATCGTTTTTCGATTGTACTACTAGTGTGTCATGAGCCTGTCTCACATCAACATCTGACAATATGTATAAATAGGCTAAATTACAGATGTGTTGTCAAGGGAATTGTAATTTTCCATTCTTAGGC